GTCTCTTTCTTTGCTTAACTTTATTTTCACTGTTTACATATTTTTGGCAGCAGCAGCAGCCATTTTATTTAGCACAATGCATTGTGGACCACTTATCCAACAGGATTTCTAAGCTATATTGTGTTTATTTACCCCACTTACAGCAGTTATATAAAGGCAGACTGTATTCCCCTTGTTCATGATGAATAACACCTTGCATCCAAGCAGCACCAATGTGTTCAAGAAGGAAGGCATGACTCAACATGAGTAAGGCTTTCACAGTTCAGCTTAATACAACTGAATAAATACAATGCATGTAAATAGTAAGGAGAATGTAATCACAGTACCAGGCAGGTTTTTTATTTAAAACCTAATCACACAAAAATAACTCACTCCAAGCTCCACTAGTCAGAAGGCTGCAACCTCTGCTTTAACATTCAAGCAATAAGGCTCAAGCAACATTTCACTATGGCAGTGATTGCCAACCTTTTTGGGTAGGAGATACATTTTTTAACTAAAAAGCAACCCAAGATCTACCCCCTCAAAGCTCTACCCCACCAACCAACCCCCCCGCAGGTCAGTCTGTGGGCAGAGAAGGGGGGGCAGATCGAGGTGGCGGGATAAAAAATTATTTGGGGATACACCCCTCCAGCAGGTAAGTCTGTGGGGGAAGGGCAGTAGGAGGGGGGGGCATGGCAGGAGCTGGGTGGTGAGACAAGCAAAGGCCTGGGGGCACATGCTTTCCAGGCCTCAGCTTCTCCCCCACCCTCCCCAGCCCCTTTTCCTGCCTGTGTCCCACCCCCTCACAGCTGGGGCCTCAATCTTCCCCCCCACCCCACAGTGGTGAGGGGGGAGGGGAGCAGGGGCCGGTATGCCAGGGTGGGCACGGGACAATTGGCTTATCTGGGGGGGGTGTAGAGACTAAGGGGGAATGCTGCCTGGGAGGGCACAGGGGGTATATGCCCCTGGATCTGCACACAGAGCAGGGCATGGTGGGCTGGAGTCAGGGCAGCATGCAGTGGCTGCACTATGGGGCGGGCTCCCAAAAATTCACCATAGCGCCCCCGCTCCCTCCCAGCACTGCTGCCACCACAGAGCCAAAGAGCTGAGCAATGTACTTCCCTGTCCCCAGCCTGTCCCGTCCCACATGCTGATCTAGGGGCATGCAACCCCCATGCCCTCCTGGGCTGCATGTCCCCCCTGCCCCCCAGATGAGCCACTCATGGCTCCATCCTGCTCCCACCTTTACAGCATTGACCCCTGCTCCACTCCCTCTCTTGCTACTGCACATGCCCCTCCCTACCCCTGCTGCAGCCACCTGAAGCCTGTGGCTGGGCTGCCTTGTGACCCTGCTGCCTATGCCTTCGTACCCCCTGCCACCAGATGAGTGGGGCTCTGGCCAAGCTGGGGGAGGCTTGAAGCCTGGGTGGCTCATCCAGGCACACAGTGGGCTCCTGCCACTGCATGCACCCTGATGGAGGCCTGGAGGACACATGTTCCCCCTGATCTGTGTGCAGGGCTTGGGGTGCAAAGCCCAATGTGAAGTGGCTGCTGCCTCTAGCCTGCACACATATCTGGAGGGCACATGGCCCCCGAGTGTCTGCAGGGGTGTGTGCAGCAGCAGCAACCCCCTGCCCCCCGCATGCCTAGATGGATCACCCAGGCTCTGAGCCTCCACTGGCCTGGCTGGGGCCCCTGTCCCTGCTCCTGCCCCACCCCCTCCCTCACCACAGGGCACTAGGGTTTGGAGGGAGATTGCCCCACCCAGCCCTGGTGGCAGGGGGTACAGCTCAGCCCAGCCATGTGGATTCCACCACCACTCCCAGACTACATCTCAGCCACTCCTGATCCCGGACCCTCTGACAGTCTATCTCAGTCTGGGGTGGCTGAGCACATGCTGACTGAGATTGACTGTCAGAGGCTCTGGGATTGACCAGTTGATTGGGATCCACTGTTTGGTGACCACTGCACTATGAGCACAGCATCCTTCACTTCATTCTGGAGGTAATAACCAGATCCTAAATTGGCATAAACTACTTGATTTCCATTTAATTTAATAAGAATTGTTCTATTTTTCATTGCCGTTTCATGTATGTTTCAGCTCAGATTTTTGTTTGGGGTTTTTTTTGGAAAGAGTGTAATGGATGAAGTTATTCAACACAAAGTATTAAAGGGTTTTTCTTTCAGAATTGGAGTTGTATCTGAATGAACATTGCATTAGAACAATTTAGAGCTGTTGTACCTTTGTTGTTATATCTTGAGGTCATGAGATCAAATTATGAATGTGGTTGCCATAGGCAAAAAAATCCCAAACACTTCATTACCTGATTAGCTGATAGATCTAAATTGCATATGTATCAGCAGTCTCATTTCAGTATAAATATTGATGAGGTGCAATGATGTATATAAGGCATTATTGCTGTAATTTAGAAAGGTTTATACACACACACACACACACACACACACACACACACGAGAAAATGTGCAGTAATAGTATACCACAAAATTAATCATGGCTTTTATTCCTGATTCACAAACACAAACACAATCAACATTGCTACTTTCATACAATTTGCATCAACATTCAAAATCAGCTCACGAGTTCATTCAAGTTATACCAAATGCTTTAGAAGGAATAGGGAGGTATTACTGCTTCGTATATGAACTTCCAAAGCTTTTATTTATGATTCAATATATTTAGTTTACCAAGCCATGCAGGTCTGGCAGCTCACATAACCACTTTCTATGGGAGGCTGATATGTTCACAGGTCAACCAGTTGAACGTCTTAAATGACAAAGGCAAAAAATGAATACAAAGAGTTCTATTCCCTTCATACTTCACAGTGCCCTTTTTGCTGTATGTTTAGGGCTTCCTCCAAGAAATCTAGCTATTTAGGAGTTTAACTTTAAATTTAATGGGAGCAGAAAAAGGTGAAAAATAACAAGTTTCCATAGATGGAAGAAACACTTTAAATGGCTTTGAATAGGCAGAAAAAATTGGCTTCAATGATCCAGACTTGTTTTCACTAAACTTAAATTATGGAGCTAGAAGTGCATGATCATTGATTGCTGCTTACAAAATACAAGTTTGAGAGATATGTGACCACTTCCACATTTTTTCTGTGGCTGTCATTGTCCCTAAGGTTTGCTAGGGAGTCCTAAATATTTTAGCCATTTCTCTCTGTTTCTCAGACTATGTAATAAAGGGATACAGCTATTATAACAACTTCCTCCTTCCTGGTTTATTTTAGGAACTGGCACGTTAACCCGAAGATGCTCATCAATGTTTTAGATCATTAAAATTTACTATTTAAGCAGTGCCAACAGTATATATGAGTCCTTAAAAATGCTTCCTGAGATGGTAGATCGTTTTTCACTTGAAGAAGACCCTTGGACAAATAAGGCTCCTTGGGACACAGGAGATAATTGTGTTATGTACCACTGTGGATACCACGTGCCCCCCTCCCCCCCAACACCTATTGTGGCCAATCGCTGTAGCTTCATAATACCTTAGAACTACATTAGGAGTCATTTTTCTTCTTAAGCTCCACACGTCATCCCCTCCTCCTCCCCTGCCCCCCAAGATTACCACTGTGGAAAAAAAAATTACATTACATTATTCTTCTATCAAGCAAGCCATACGAGGCGGGGCTGAGGGACCTGGGATTCTTCAGCCTAAAAAAGAGAAGGCTGAGAGGGGACTTGATAGCAGCTTACCGCTACATCAGGGGAATACATCAAGGGCTCGGTGAACAACTGTCCACAGGGGCACTTTTGGGGAAAACCAGGAGTAATGGCCACAAACTCCTGGAAGACCGTTTTAGGCTCAACATTAGGAAAAACTTCTTCACAGTTAGTGTGTCCAGACTGTGGAATAAGTTCCTTCTAGAGGTGGTGTAATTGCCTACCCTGGAAATCTTCAAGAGGAGACTGGACAGTCACCTTGCTGAGGTTACCTGATCCCAGTTGGATTTCCTGCTTGGTGCAGGGGCCTGGACCTGATGATCTTCTGAGGTCCCCTCTGGCCTTACAATCTGTGAATCTATGAATAAACCGGCTTCAAATATTGCAGTTTTTGGTCAAGATTTCCCCATTAGCTTTGGCTAAGTGAGAGGAGGTGTGCTGGATTTCTGCTTCACTAAGATCTGTTGTGATACAATATACAGTAATTTATTGAACAACAACAACAGAGCTAGCAGTAGAAACTACTGTAGGTTGGGCTAATGCTTGTGCAGCAAGAATCTGTCTTAACTGATGATCTGGGAAGGAAAAGGTAATGCAAGGGGATTATTTTACATGACTAGGAGTAAAATAAGCTCTTCCTCTCTTTTTAGGTACCTGTATTGGCCTAAAGAGGTGACTGATATATTTGACTGATATATTTGAACTGTAGAGATATGTGGATTTCTTCTTTCCCAGAAAGCTCCTTAATCCTAATGCAACCTGCTCTCTCATCCTAATGCAATTATAATTGATAACATACTTGAAGAGTGGCTTTTGTGAAAATGAGGGCCAGCATTATTGGTATACCAAGTGATTATTTCCTTGCTAGAGCATGTACACTACTAGAGAACAGCAGTATTAAGTCTAAATACACATAGCTTGAGTATTATTTTACAGCTGTTCATCAGTTGACATACTTACAAGGAAACTTTTTTCTCAAGCTACAGTTCAGATAAAATGACAGTTACATTACAGTAGAGTTGGAGTGTTATTGTAGCCATGATGGGCCAGGAAATGTACAAGAGGTGAGGATTTTTGTGGTATCTCTATGGTTGCAGGAGCTGTTAGGCAATCTTTTGTCTTTCCTCAGGTTACAGTATACCAATTGGATTTACAGGTTACTGACATCACATACCCCACAATACATAAAGGAATTGCAAATGTGCATTTTTAAAGATGGTGCAAAATGCAAATGATGAACACACATGTTCTTTGTTGACTGCTTTCATCTTGACATGATCTAGAGTTATGCCTCTGAAGCAATGCAAGCTATTGTGTAAGCTGAAATAAATTCTTACCTTAAAGTGGGCAAAATAAGTTCCAGATTTTTGTACAAAACTGCTCCAAGCACGAATACAGTTGATTCATCTAGTTCTTTAAAAAAAAAACAAACAAACAAAAAATTAATTGAATCAAAAAAGTTCAAATGTTTTAAAATATTGTCTTTACCAATACATTAGTCAGCATATGTCTCTAGGGATAGGTATGTGTAGGTATTTTATTTATATATTTTTTTTATTTGGGATCTTAAGAAAAATCAGGTGTGTGTTTCCTCCTCAGGAAACTAGCACCAGTCCTGGAGGTACTGCAATACCAGGCCAACACCAGGAGGACCAGAGCCAGCCCTGACACCTTTCCCTTGGTACCAAAATTGCTACATTTGATGTGTTGATGGGAACCTACCACAAGGATAGGTTAATACAGCCCACCTGAATAAGACATGTAGTAGTATCTATTATGCTCAATCATCCTCAGCACTGACTCTATTTCAAGTCAAGGTTAGCCACTACATTGAAACACTTCAACTTCCTCTTCACTCCCACAGCTGAACTGTGCCTTTCCTCTCCTTGTCTAAAGATTTGTGTTTCTTCACCAGCCTTAAATGCCTAGCAAACATTACCAAATGGGACCCCAAAACTGTTAACTCAGAATCTCTCTGCCCCCAACTCTCCCAGCCTGGAACATATGATTAGTGTAGTCCCATCCTCCATGAAGTGAAGCCAGACCAGGTTGCCCTGCATCTCAGCTTCATATAAACTTTTTAAGGATTTCAGGGTTTGTGACATGAACACCCAGTTCCAGTCATGTGTGGGGGGCTAACTGGCTACATTGCTCCTTTGTGGGGTGTGGAGTATCTGAAGTATGCACACATACTGAGCAGTGCTAAGCTGTGGGATCACCGAAGTTTGAAATGCTGTTGAGCCTGCTGGGGCCCAACCCATTGAACAATGTGGTAAATTATGAGCCTTTGGCTTTTGGATTAATATCATGTATAGTTTGTACCACATGTAATAGGTGCCAAAGTGATGCTCAAAATTGTGTTTATGGAGTAAAGGTAACATGCATCAAGTCTGGATTAACTAAGTGTATGGGTATTACATGCAAATGACTATAGCCATGTTTAATTTCAAGGTTATTGTTTTCAAATTTGCTCCTTACTTATATGTGCTCAGGGAAAGTAGGGTCTGATAGTAAGGAGAGAGGAGAGGGGCTGCCAGGGGAAAAAGTTTGGGGGAAGCAGACAGCAAAAGGGCTACCTGACCGCTCAGATTATTTTCCCTGCTGTAGCAGTGGAAGGGGGACAAATTCAAAGAAAACCTCCAATAATTACATTCTATGTTTGGAAAATTATAACAAAGTTATTATTTTTCCACACATAGAATCTAATTATTGGGGGTTTGTTTTATAATCAGGATTGTCTTCTATTTGAGTAAATATGGTATACTGGTATTTCATTTTGAAATACCTATAGGGGACATTTTTAACATGTAGGAGATGAATCTGCAATATAGTTGTTTAGGGTGGGACAGTATATTGCATACTGGCCTTAGAACCACTGTGAACAGTTTAGAGAGGAAATAAGATCAGTCAGTAGAAATAAGATCGGTCTCTATGATGCTGTAATGTAGTGACAGGAAAATGTCCCTGAAATTGTCTACAGTAGAATCAGGAGAATACAATGCTGAGCTTTTCATTTTCTATGAGCACATGTTGCTAAGCTGCATGAATATTGCAAACTACAGGCAAGACAATGTAGCTGATAATACTTTGAATTTCTACAAGACCTTAAAAATCTCTTAATATATAAGTCAAGCCTCACCAAATTAATTTGGGGATTAGTAAAATAAAATATCCATTTTGGAGATTGTTAAAAGAAATATCAATACGTTCAGAAGTAGCCATATGGGACAACATTTCTCAGATTCCTTAATCTAATGAGCAAAAATTCTCCTTCAATATAATATTGTGCCTGAATACTTATTTACCTGATGACATAGGGGTGAAGATATTTTTTGGAATGACAACCCTGTCTTCTGAGTTTCGCGCCCAGTCAACCATTCCTTTCCTGCCTTTCATTGGGAAATTGATGTCTGTTAGAACAGATGCTGCAGGAAGCTTCTGAATACTAGCCACTATTAAAAGAAATAATACAATCAGATAACTCTCATGTTTTACACTTCAGAGCATTATGAAGAGATCATAATAGTAAACAATAACAAGCATATGATAATGCAATTAAAATAAAACCAGTTTATTACTTTAACTGGGGCTGTACAGTTTATTTTGAATACTGTATTTACTCCAGTATAAAATAAGGTTTTTAACCCCCAATCAGCACGGGGAAAAATCCCCTCATCATACATTCATATATGTAATGAAGGGGGGAGCAGGTGGCTGCTGCCGCTCTGACTCTGGCCCTGAGCTTGGGTTGGGGTCAGAGTCAGACCCACAGCAGCCTCCTGTGCCCTTCCTTCCACTTCCCCTCTGCAGCTTCCGGCTTCCTCCCCATCCCTCATAGCACTGGAAGCTCAGCTCTTACCAGCCAATCAGCAGCATTGTTACTGCTGTATTCCCTGCCCAGACAATCAGCACACTAAAAGTACTGCATGACCAGGAAAGGGTTGAGTTTCCACCTGCTGTGCTCTGAGCAGTGTCTGACATTAAGGTGGGTGGGGGGAAGAGGCATACTGGGAGGAGTGGGGGAGGAGCAGAGGGGAGGTGGGAGTAGGGGGTGCAGATGGCAGGGACTAGGAAGGCTGCAGAGGGAAGAAGTGGACAGGACAGAGGGCAAAGGGCCCACCTGACCGTCCACCCCCACCACTGCTCCCTATGCTGTAGCTGGGGGAAGGATTTAAGATAGGTCTCCAATACTTAGATT